ATTATTATTGATCATCGTTTTCATGTGATGATAATGTCGCCAAATTTTGATTACCGTTTCATGTTTGTCTGTACTGTAACTTTTGATTGAAGGACTAATCCATGAACCAAAACCAATAGTTGAAGTAGGTCGGTAGATCCCGCCAGTATTCCTCCTTTCTTTATTTAGTAGTTCATCTCAGCAGCTACCTAGGAACCTATGTAGTTTCCATTGTCGATTCGAGATTATGGGGTAGATTCTCATCCGATAAATCCCAAAAATCATTTTATCAAAATTAATTATTCTTATTATATTATGATTAAGGTTGGGTGTTATTATTAGTTAGCGGTCATCGCACTCTCCTTTGCAAGTGGAGAAGTTTCAAGTAATTGTCTTTGCCAAGTCACATACTCCTCAATTTTGAAAAACTTTCTTTTTCTCACACTCAATCATCATATAACCTCGATGTTTAGCTATTATCCGTGGGGTACTATTCAGATATATTTGTATTGCATCACATGATCAAATTGCAGACTTACTCACCAAAACCTTCTCAATCGATCAATTCTTTTTTAGTAGAAGTGGTTGTACGGTTTGGTCCGGTTAAATTGGCCCAAATTGATCCGGTACCGGTTCGGTCTTTTCGAAAAGGTAAGGACCAAATATTGTATTGGATACAATCCGGTCTTGAACCGGTCCGGTTCCAATTCGGTCTTGATTTTAGATTGAGCTTGTTGGGATTTGAGTGGCCTGAATGGGGGATTTGAGTGGCCTAAGACCTGAAAGGGTGAGGAGGTTAAATTTTGGGTGTTGGGCTCTCTTATCCGGTCTTTATTTGGTTTTCGGACCGGTACCAAACAGTTTCTTAACTCAAATCTAGGCCCGAAGATTGAATTTGATTGTTTGCTATCTGATCACGATCCGGTCTCGGTCCGGGTTATACGATCCGATTTTGAGTAAAACAAAAAAGTTCAGACCAAATAGCCACCCCTATTTTTTAGCATGCAAATTGATGATTAGAACTCCCCCATCAATTTGAAAAGGCTGTTGAGATGTCGATATGTAAGAGTTAGGAATGGCAATGGGCAGGTCCAGGCCGGGTATCTTGATACCCATACCCGTCCCGTGGCAAGTCGAGTCCATATCGGATAATATATCATGGGGCGCGGGTCGGGGCAGGTCGACCCAACGGGTATGTAATTTATGTGAAAAACATTAGAAATATTCGTTACTTCCATTAAAACACCAAGAAAGAAATGATAATATGATAACATCTAGTTAAATTATTTGAGAAATTGAGGTTTTCACTTATTTACAACTTTATTATAGCTAAAATATGAGGTAATAAGAGGGAAATCCTAAGTAATTTGACTAAAATTACATGTAATTTAGACAAGAACGGGTCGAGAATGGGGCGGGTCAGGGAGAAGTACCCATGCCCGCCCCGCCACGCCCCAAAACAGGTCAAACAGGGCGGGTAAAACGGGTCATGTCGAAATTGCCATCCCTAGTAAGAGTCGTCTTGGCCCAACTATTTTATACGAGAGACATGCTAGGTCGACGGAAGGTTGCGTACTTGCGTTATTAGGTGAAATTGGCTAGGCCGGTTATTGATGAGAGTCGTGTACTTTATGTATATATGTACCACTAGATTTAAACTCGGCCCGTTAGCTAGGTACATTTATCAATGATATAAATAATAATAGAAATTATCGAAAGGAAAATATATTTTTATTTTCTATCATAAAAGAGTCCAAACATTTCATTATGGGAAAAATAAAAAATAAAACAACATAGATCATAATTATTTGTGACATGCTAAACGATTCAACTAACGTCGCCATTATAAAAATTAAAAAAAATCATGCAAGGGAATCAATCTTACAAAACGTGTTCAATTGAAATAACACGTAGATAGAGAAATTCTGTAAATTTTCTCTTCGACTTTACGATTACTTCGTCATTAGCATTATCATCGCTACCAATAACGCCGCCTTCTTCTCCATTCATGACATCTCTATTTCCACTATCATCAATATCTTTTTTGTGCTTTTGCATTTGAACATTCTCTTCATTCTTCTGCTAAAAAAATTTAATGCTAAAACTTATTGCAAATATGAAATATAGATATTACTGCTTTCAAGTAATTAATATTATTTGATATTTATTCTTTCTCGCTAATACTGATACTTCTATATCATAATGAACTATCTATTCTTTCATCTCAACAACTTCATTATCTCTATCACCTAATGTACTACATCCACCATTAGAAGACTCTTCTTGTCCTACATATAATTGAAAGCTAAAATCTTAGTGGTAATATATTTACAAATGTGAAACACCGTTTTTGCTCAACTTAATAAAAAATATCTTCCTAAAATATTTTTCATACTATTTTAGTTCTTAGTACATATTACATGCACATATGAACTTTCCTCTAATTAATCACTTAAACTTTTAAAGTCAATCCGAATGGGATGGAAATAAATGTTTGCTTTGTGTGGGAGTTAACAAAACAAATGTTTATATTTTGGCTGGGGTGTAGCATATGACGAAACATGTCTATAATATGTTATATGTTTTGTGTGACTTATAACTATCGTTCACATTCGTCCTTAGGTCGCCCGTTTCAAAGAAATATGTCTATATAAATAGAAATTTGTAGTCATTTATTTTATATGGCAGATGAAGGTCTATAGTATCAGAGTTAAATGCTCGATCTAATGGTTGTTCAAGTCGGTAACCTTGATGTGAAGGTTGACATCTTGATTAACGTAATATTTTTCTTCTTATAATCTTATTACTAATAAATAATGAATACATAAAAAATAAAATGCAATAACCTTAAACTAAAAATAGAAAGAGGATTTTGCCAAAACGAAAAGAAGAAGCCCAAATATTGTAGCTGCCTCACGAGTCACGCCTCACTGGAACAATTAAAGAGATAGAAAACAAAAAATATAAAAAGACATTTGTAGCCTCCCGTAAGATGCTCTCAGAGCTCTAATGCATGATTTAACTCACTCTTCACACGGAATCTCCTTATATAAGTGGGTAGTAGGGGTGGGCATGCGGTTCGGTTTTACCAAACCGAACCGAACCGAACAAAAACCGACCGAAACCGAATTAATCCTTATTAGGTTCGGAGTTCGGATGGAAATATACCATATTTCGGGAGCCAGCTTTAGTTAAACCGAACCGAAAAACCGAACTTCCGACCGAATTTCCAAAATTAAAAGTGGCCCAACCCAACCTTGACTTCAGCCTACTCCCAACACTTGACCCAACTAAAGCCCAAACCCAATACCCATCCTCCTTGCCCCAAGCCCCCAATTAAAGCACAATTCCAAAATTTCAATTCCCTTTCTCCCAGCCCACAGACGAAAAAACCCTAGGAAAAGAAAGGAAGGAAGCAGCCAGCTACTTTTTCTAATTCAACCCCTCTTGCCTCCTCTCCTCCCCTACTGTCGAAGCAGCACCAGCCAGTAGCGGTGACTCGACGACCAGCCGTCCCCGTTGGCCGTCACGGCGTCTCCCCGACCCTGATGGCCTCTTGCTCGTGCCTCACAGTCTCGACTCTCGACTCACCTCTCTCACCCTCCATCTCTCCAAGTCTACCAGCGCTACTCGGCGCCTCCTCCCACATACCTTCTCTCCCATCAACAGCCACCACTCGCCGCCGCCGCGCCGCCCACACTCCAAATTCAAAGTCCAATTACAGCTGCCATGTTGCCAAATTTCGAGTGGCCAGAAGGCAGAGCACAAAAAAAATGGCAGCAGTTACTTTTTCGGGTCTGGATGGGAATACCGAACCGAACCGATCTATAATTCGGTTCGGTCATACCGAACCGAATTATAGCTCGGTTCGAATTCGGTTGGGGTAGTGGTGATTTCGGAAAATCGGCAAATACTAGTTCGGTTCGGTTCAAACCGAACCGACCGAACGCCCACCCCTAGTGGGTAGGTAGAAGAGTGTACTTATATATATGAGCTATGTGAAAATAAGAGAAAAGATTGTTTTTTGGGACTAATCTTGTTCATAACGAATAAGAAAATCACGTAAACATTGTCTTGATTTCGTTTTTATTTCCGATTACCTTATGTTTCGATCATCAGTTGGTTGCTGGATGATTTTAACAAGCAACCTTGTTAATCTCTAAGTGTAGTACCTCTCTGGTAGATGCACTCTATAAGACTAGGGATGAGAAACGGTACGGTCTGGCCCAGACCAGACCATATAGACGGTCTACGGTCCAGATCGAGATACTAAATTATAGACCAGAGACCAGACCACGCTTGTGCAGTCTGGTCCAGAGAGACCAAATTAAAAAAATACTTTGTTAAGTCAACCACATTACAAATTGAACCAATAACCGAGGGAAAAAATGGTTTTTTGCCTTAAAACATAAAAACCAACATGCATGAATAATTTTGACTCTCTAAATCTTAGTAAATAACAAAGATACAAAGTCAAAAATCCCAACTCGCACCATAACGTCACAAACATTAACATAATGTCATATGAAGACACGATCGTCTCTATTCTCTAATGAAATGTGGTTATCGGTGAAGGAGGGGACAAGATCCTCAGAAGTAATTAAGATTGAGACTTGAGTCTCATTGGGGGAGTTGGGAGAGTGGTCGAGTGGAATACGAACATGTATTGGGAAGTCGGCTAGATCCACGGTTTGGTCCGGTAAATCGCGGTTAGACCGACCATACCAGATCAAGAGTTTCAAAACTTCATATAATACAGACCATGGACCAGACCAGGCCATTATTCACGATCTACGATCCTGACCAAACTGTGCGGTCTGGTTTGGTCCACGATATTTCAAACGGTTTGTTCTATTTTCCCGGCCCTATACAAGACGATGGAGTAAGAGTGGCATACTAACCGGAAAATAGATGAATTCTTATTACCATTCGCCGGAAGCTAGCTACCAACGATACACATATATACATTCATACACTAGCTTGTAGCTAGTCAATTACATGCTGCACGTAGCCAACCCTAGCTACCGGAGCCACCAAGTTTGGCGGTTATCGTCATCGGAGCAAACGAACCGAGCAAAATCGAACACAACCACTTCCTCCGGCGCCCCGGTCAATGAACGGCGGCAGAGTGGACACGTGGGATGGCGGCGGCGGGTGAAGAAGGAGTAGTGTGTCCATCTGTCCAGACAAACTTTGTGGAACGCGTGGTGACACGCCAGCTCCGCAACCTCGTCGCCTCCTTCGATCTTGGACAAGCACACCGCGCATTCCGCGGCGTCCTGGTCGGCCGCCCCGACACCGCGGGGACGGTGGTGAGCTGCTGCGGCGGCGGCGGTTGGGTATTGAAGAAGAAGGTGGGAGTGGGGGTGAGAATGGAAGAAGGAAGTGTGGAGCATAACTTCCCATCCCCATTTCAAGTAACTAAGCATCAGCGTTATGATTCCCACCACTCTCCTTGCATCCATTTCTATAGCAGCTTCCCACCTCGAGATTTGAGCTTCTTTAGGAGAAATGGAGCTTCTGGGAAAGAGATGAGTACTAGTGGCGGGATGGAGCCGGTATTTATGCAAAATCATATTACGTACTGATGAGAACAAGATGACAAATGTTTAGTTTGGTATTATGCAAAGACAAATGTCTTAATTAATACGTTGTTTGTTTGACTGATACATAAGAAATAAACTAATCATTCAACTTTCATAAATTTTACATGGTGTATTTTATAACTGTTATTCGAATGGTGTTACGTGTGGTCTTATAATAAAATACAGTTACAGATCTCATATATGATTGAACTGTTGTGTAGGACTGATTTATTATAGAAGCCATAATTTACATAATGCAAATTGATGATATTCTGAATATAATAGGTAATAATAGAATAATTTTTAGTTAATAATAAGACAATTGAATTATATAAAATGTATCGAATTCGATTAAACTATTATGTAAAACATAATCTACCTTACAAATCCTTTTGGTCTTGCAAATTGATGAATCGGTCAACAATTTAGTGAATAACTTACGAATTTCCATTCAATCTTGTATCAGGAAAGACTTATGTTATATGTTGTTTAATTGGTACATAAGAACTTATTATCACTCCATAAAGTTTTCGTATTGTCTTAGTCATTAAGACTTATGTTTGTGCTTTTTTTATTACAAAGATCGGATATACTTATTATGCATGTGCTCATTTTATGTACATTTTCCAAAATACAAGGATTGAAGAAAAAATGGCACAATATAACACTTTGCAAAAAAATTCTCAAAATACTAGAGTTTGAAGCAGTTTATTGGAGTGTTGAGCGAACTAGTCTCTACTTCGTTGGAATAAGGAGCAAAAAACAGTGGATTTTGGCTTCAAATATCTCGAAAAGTTCTAGAAGAATATAAAAAAAAATTCGCTACGATTGGATAACCAAGCACAAAGTTTTGATAACTGGAAATTTTGACCTAAGTTTAGAGTTGATATATAGTTTTGATAACTGCACTTGGACCAAACCTTTGTTCGCAAAGACTTTAGTATTTTTGCAAAGTATGGTATTGTATGTGATAATTTGTTTCTCGACCCTTTTATATATTTTAGGATTTTCTTCCTCATTTTATCGAGTGAATAAAGACTGATAAAACACAAAGTACGAATATGGTTATTAAAAAGAACATAGTATAGTAATACATATCTGTTAAATAAAATGATGTGGCATTGGCACACCCAAGGAAAGATGTGACAACTAGAACGTCATCCTTGAATATTCTCTGCCTAATTAACATACTTTCTAAGGTGATAACGGATAAGAGCGTGCAGGCATTACAAAAACTCAGATAAACACTATCCTTTTTTTTTTAAAAAAAAAAAGATAAACACTATCCGGAACAAGAAAAAAGAGAGTAAAAAATGCTAGGTCCAAGTTGGAATAACTAAGTGAACTAACCAATAATATCACCCATATAGGCGTCAGGCGATAATGCATGCGCACGAAAGATTAATAAATAGCAGGTAGCGAGGTAGCACATGTATCGTAGCCCGTAGGTCAAATAAATCCAGCTGCACTCTTTGTTCTCATATGATTATACACTAATTAATTACAATGTAAATAAAATTATTATTGATCATCGTTTTCATATATGATGATAATGTCGCCAAGTTTTGATTTCCGTTTTATGTTTTGTCTGTAAACTTTGATTGAAGGACCACTCCATGAGCCAACCAATAGTTGAAGTAGGTCGGTAGAAACCCGCTAGCATCCCCATTTCTTTGTTTAGTAATTAATCTCGATCAGCAGCTACCTAGGAACGTACTTAGTTTCAATTGTCGAGATTGTTTACAAAATTTCTCCCGATATATATCTAAATATTTATTTGTCGAGATTGAACACTAATATTCAATAGTGGTCCTCACATTCCTCTTTGTAAGTGGGAAGTTTTAAGTGGAGCAAGAGATCGAGCAAGAGGACGAAGAAGAGTGGAGTGCGGGGGCGGCCGATACTTATAGAAAGAAAGAAAGAAAGAAAGAAAGAGGCCATAATATTCTTGATGAGTACAAGACAAAAGTTTAATGAACTGAATGAATAATTTAAGATCCCCGTTGACGTACGTAATAATGCCGCGTTTTTTTTTTTTTTGTTTTTTTTTTTATTTCTCGTGTTTCCTTGTAGATTCCGATAAGGGAATATTGGTGGGTTGCATGTGTCCGTCCTTAGTGCATAAACTCTGACAAATATTCTTTTTCACTGGTGGGGAATAGGGGTGTCCATTCGGGTTCGGTTTTTGGGTTTACCCGAAATCGACCCAATGAGATACATTTTCGTTTTTTCGGGTTCAGATTTATTTCGGGTTTCGGTTTTTTAGGTTTCGGGTTTGGTTTTTGCTTATCGGATTTTCGGGTTCCGTCTGAAAACCTTCAAGAAATAGAACTCAGCCTGTATTCTTATATATTCGAGTTTTTGGATTTCGATTTTGCTTTAACCGAATTCGATAAGAAATTTTCGAATTTCGGGTAACCGAAAACCGAAAGTCCTTATCGGGTTCGGTTTCCCGTTATTTCGGGTTTTCATGTTTTTTTGGGTTTCTGTTTAGGGTAACCGAAACCGACCCAAACTGACACTCTAACTGGGGAAAGCCACCAATAAGGCAATAATATTCGGTCTTATGTCCTATTTGGTTTTGTTGTATTGTACTATTGTATATCCTCTGCAGGATCCTGTCGCATTCTTAGTGCTAGTAGTTGGGTCGCTCATGTTCTTCCTTCTTGCTCCCTTTAAAAAATCATGCAAAACGTGTAAAGTAAACGGTGACAACAAATGTGTATTAGATAAAGACTGTTCATTAGGGGGAAATCTGTCTTGGCGCACTTTTTACACGCTGATTTATTTGCACCATTATTAACTACCTTTTATAACATCAACAAAGCAAAAGTATAAGGTTATAGTCCAAGAAAACTGGAGTGTCAAACGCGTTTAATTACCATCACTTTCTTCAACCTTAGGTTTGGTAAGAGTGAGCACTTGCAGAAAATTTCTTGCATCTTCCACACCCAATATTAATTACTAAGTTGTACTTTAAGGAGTTCTGAATCAAGTCTTCCCATTCAAATTTGTCACAAACTTGCCTTTAGCTCGGCCAGATCACAAGGTCATCTTCTCAACATGATCCAAGAATCAATGCGACTGGTTAGCACTTCCAGCAGTTTGACTACACAAAACGTGACCCACAAATACCATCTCTCCTTTAATACCTACTGCAATCTTCATAATGCCAACGGTTTTGATGGCATGAATGGGGTTTAATTTGCTGATGATATGACTTTGAATCTGTTTATCTAATCTACAATTGGGATTCTTGAGGGTATTATTGTGGATCCAACGGTGTATGCACTTTACGTCTCTATGTTCCGATTCATGTAAGTTTTTCGACCTTTTCATATACATTTAAGAGAACTCATTTAACTAAATCTTCTAAGAGAAACTTGACAATGTTGATAAGCACCAATATTTTCAGGCACAATTTAAATTTGTTCCATTTCTATGTTGTATCTTGTACACTTTCTTTGAACTAGAGCTGCAAATGAGTTGAATCAAATCAATCTTTTTTTATCTAGTTTAACCCTAGGCCTACAGATGAGCCGATTGTTATATCTTGTAAACCTTGGCTTGCGTTTGGCTCAAGCTAGACTCGAGCTCGGATCATCAATTACCTCGCAAGATCGGTTGGAGCTATGTTATTATATTATTTAGTTTATATTTTAAATTATTCATATCATGTTATCTTTTTATAATAATTAGTAACTCAGCAATTTATGATACATAATTTATCTTTTTAAATATAAATGAGATGTATTTAAACGCGTGATGAAATTCTTAAACATCATGTGTTATAAGATATATATATAAGCTAACAAACCTATAAATTATAACAAGTCAATTTTAAACTATCAATCAATTGACTTAGGACTTTGCTACGGTGACATGCATGTCACCATAACTTGCACTTTTAGGTCGACCTTATATAGGATTAGGTCGACCTTATATAGGATAGGTCGACCTAATATGTCATTTCAGTTTTGTGAGGTTCAACGACGCGGTTGACCTTTTATAGTAAATGGTCGACCTCTTTGGGAAACAATGTGGGTGGTTTTTTTGCTCGTACAAATTACGTTTCAAACCAACAGAACCAGTCATAAATAATGATAACAAGGACTCATAACTTCATAACATAACAACTAAACAAACTAACAAGAAATACAATAAAACACAAATCATAATTATTCACACATAACTAAAATCTAAAACCACATCATATCAATCCACAATCTTTTTTAACACTTAACAATAAAAACACACAATCTAAAATTGTTGAGTTCCTACTCCTGTCCCCTCTCTCCCTCATCCACATTTTCTTCAATGGTGTTGCTATAGCATTATGGTAGTCGGAAGTTACGGTGATGCAAGTATCTTCCACTGAAAGATTGAAACTCGTCTCGCGTCTCATTCACAGTCACCTGCAGTGTGCTCATTTGCCCCAAGTAGTCGTACATGCCAGTCATCTGGGTGGAAATCTGGTCCATGTATTCGTACATGCCATCCATGCGCTTCCCAAGAGGTCGACCATTTGCTATAAAAGGTCAACCACATCGTTAAACCTCACAAAACTGAAATGACATATTAGGTCGACCTAATCCTATATTAGGTCGACCTAAAAGTGCATATTAGGCCCGACCCCGCATAGAGTCAACCCAGTCGAGGTCTGGGGCTCTGGGCCCTTACAAGAGCCTGGGTTATACAACAAATCCGGATTAAAATACATAAAGGCCCAGCCCATTCTTAACTGATTGCTACGGTCCACTGCTGAACAGAGTCCCCCGACGATTCCGACAAGGCGACAAAACGTCCAACAAACAAAACCAGGGCCCTCCCTTCCTTCCCCTGCAGCCTCAAACTATAACACGACTGCCAAACCAAACACCGGCGATCGGCACACTTTCACCCCGGCGATGGCCGCCACTCCCACTACCTACTGCTCTTCTCCCGCTCTCAGCGGCTCGCTGCCTTCCGTCAGACGTTCTTCTTCCTCTGTTTTCCCCACCCGGACCTTTTTCCGCCCCGTTTTCTCCATTGACGCACCGCTCCCGAGGTTCGCCGTCTCCGCTCACTCCCCCGACGGTGCGAGCGGGCCTGGTCCACTCAAATCAGCGTTGGAAGCGGATTTGGGGGAGACGGGATCGTCCTCGTCGTCGTCTTCGGTCTCCTCGTCTATTGATTTTCTCACCTTCTGCCACCGTTTGAAGGTAATTGGAATAAAGGGAAAGGTTTGAATTAGGCGACCTAATTGGTTGTAAAATTGATTCGGGGAACATCTATTTTTTCGCAGACCACGAAGCGGAAGGGGTGGATTAATCATGGGATTAATGGCGCTGAATCGATTGCTGATCACATGTACCGTATGGCTCTCATGTCTCTGATCGTCGGTGACATTCCCGGAGTTAACCGAGAAAGGTTGGTGCTTTGTACCGCATGAAATTCATATAATGATGAAATTCACGCTATTGGTCATTGGTTTCGTGACCAGTGATGCCCGAATTGGGATTGGTAGTATGGGAACTTTGCCTAATTCGTAGCTTGCAAGCGAATGTGGGATCACTGGGTAGCGTAGGTTTATGAAGGCTATTCTAGTGGTGGAGGAAACTAGTTTGAGGAAACGAGAAAGTTGAGTGAATTCTTTTGCGGTGTAGACAGAAAGTTTCTCTATTTCATCAGGGCTTAATGGATAGCTAGAAAGACTGCATGCATGATTGGAGAATGTGATTTTGATCTATGTTGATGTGGTTGCTTTCTCTTAACATTTGGGTGCGTTCGGTTTGCTTCTCACAAACCTGATTTGGTGGAGCAATGAGTTTTATTGTTTTGTTAGGGTGCTGGGTTGCTTGATGCAGTGTGGATATGTAACTGGGATTTACTTGCTAAACTTGTTTGGTTACCTTATTTGGCGCAGATGTATAAAGATTGCAATCGTCCATGATATTGCAGAAGGTATTATTTTGATTCTGTTCTCTCTACTGTCCTTCTGATGGTTGATGGGATTGTTTCTTGCGGATCGAGATTTATTGATTTGAGGCCTCAATCACTTCATACGGTAATTAAAATGAACTGACAATGCATATGATTGGCTGTCCGGAGAGTTTTGCTCTAGAAAGATAAGTCACATTTCTAGGTGCCAACTAAGAATTGCAAAAATTCTATATATCTATACTTCTTGGTTGTAGATAGGGTTAGGCTGTCTAGGATAGCCAATCTGCCACTGTTTTTAAGAGCCGCGTTCCTCTAATTTGAAGGTTCAATATGTGATCATAATGAAATTAATGAGAATCATCTCCTGCCTTGTTGAGTCGACTTCTACTCATTGCTAATTATGCAGACATGTTCCTGTATTGGCATCTGAATTCTTGTTTCCACTTTTTAATAGCTATTGTTGGAGATATAACACCATCTGACGGTGTGCCAAAGGCAGAAAAAAGCAGACTTGAGCAGGCAGCTTTGAAAGAAATGTGCAAAATGCTTGGTGGAGGAATGAGGGGTATTTGCCGATCCTTGATCTTGATTTGAGATTTGAGATTTGAATTGTTTGTAATAAATGTTTGCTTACTGCAGCTGAAGAGATCAAAGAGCTGTGGTACGAGTATGAAAACAATGCTTCCTTGGAGGCTAACCTTGTCAAGGATTTTGACAAAGTATGTATACACTGAAAACTGGTGTGGATTGTATGTTTCCTTGTGTAAAGAATGAGTTTAAGACTTAGGAAGCCTCCAATCAAAGCCCATTGATATCTGTATTATGAGGTTGGCATGTTTTGTTAACGCTAGACTACACATCTTTTCGGCAGGTTGAGATGATTTTGCAAGCATTGGAATACGAAACTGGTTAGTTACAGATTGCCTTGTCTAGCAAAATACCAACTACTCCCATAAGCAATTTTCCCTTTCTCACTTTAATCCCCATGCACTCTTTTATCTTTGCAGAACATGGGAAGGTGTTGGATGAATTTTTCATTTCAACTGCAGGTAGAATTGTAAATTCATTACATTTTCTCAGAACTCCCATTGTATGATCCCATTATGCTCTGATTTTTCTGTGATTGATGACATTCTTCCCAATCTGGCATCTGTAGGGAAGTTTCAGACCGACTTAGGAAAAAGTTGGGCAGCCGAGGTCATCTCCAGAAGGAAGTCCCACTAAGGCAACTACCTTTAAGCTGATCTTCTTATTATGCATCCAGTCCTTGCTCTCATTTCATGGCGTGCCAAGGTTTTGGATGCAACTCTCACAATCACCAACTCTTTATCAAAACTATCGGTTGAACGATTGATGATCCGTGGAACGAAAATCAAGGCATTCGACGTGAGTAAGGACGACATGTGGAAAGAAATGTGAGGGCCATCCGACAGTAGTAAGTGTTAACATCAGACACTCACCGGTTTTTGAAATTCGATGTTGTTTAACCATTCATCCTGTGCTAAGATAGTAGCCGACTACTTGCCTTGTATCGGCATATGAAGTTTCCTCATCGATGGACGATGGCGCATCATGTGACCGTGTAGACCATTTTTTTTCTTCTGAACATGGTCGTGCTTCTTCTCATGGTGAAGGTTGAGCAATAAGGAATCTATGTTTTGATATTGCTGTTTAAAATACGAGTCCCTTCCTAGTTTTACCATCCATTATTTTTTCATTGAATGTCGAATAAGCATCGTTATAGAGGGAAGTGCAGTTATTTTCCCTAGGGTGTCTGCGAGAACGTACTCACAAATACTTTGTTGTTAGAACGGGTGGACGTTCGTCAACTATGGGATGACACAGAGGCCTAAGCTTAGTAGCAAAATCAGTGTCAATCCTACTTGAAACATCTATCTTATTTAGCCACTAAAGATGGGCCATTTAGAGTCGAACTAATCATTTGTCATGAGGGAGGTTTTATTTTAATCAGCGGAAGATCCAATCCAGCACAAAAGGCAAAACTTGACTTGGGCAACTCTCTGATTATCACAACATTAATCTATTGGTTGACATGATGATCATAGAAATAGCTCAAGAACACCATCCACTCAAACAACAGGCCACGTGGGGGATCTGTCTTCAACATTGTGCTTTTTTTTTCCTCCACTCGTGATTGAAATTTTAATTATTTGCAAGTCCCATTAGTTTTTTTTTTTTTTTGTTAATGTGAAATCATATTTCACAACACGCTCCACCGCATACACGTACATGGCAGCCACATGCGATGCCATATGCAAAAAATGACACTTGTTTGTCGATGGAGTTATGTCACTCATTCCCCGCTTATGCAAAATGACTTTAGTGTTTGACTTTACCGAACCATTTGCCCACTCCTACATATCCGTCCCGTTTTTTAAAAGTTACGGGTATACAAATACCCGTATTTTTTTATGGGATGGCACTTGAGATTTAGAATCGCTACTTTGGGTACCCGTGGGTTACTCGTCAATATCCGTTTGAGTATTACGGGTACCTTGTTTTTAGTGTTTTACTATTGATGTGAGCTAGTAGTTGGATTGCCGATGGCTTCTGTATGCAAATTGTTTGATTGTTTTAGTGTTTTACTACTGAATAGGTACGCAGTGTTAGAGGCTTGAGAAGAGGTGTGGTTCGCTTGTGTGACTAAGCCTGACTTATTCTCACAGTAGCCTCTTTAGCTTCTTATTATTAGGTGGGTTTGTTTAATTGTGTTAAAATATTTGTAGTTTTTCCACCAATTGTACGGATATTTACGGGTAGTATGGGTACCTGTTATCCGTCCCGTACGGATAATGGATACTCATTAATCCATACGAGTTTGAGACATGAGATAGAGATTGCTCATCAAATGGAACTGGATACCCCTTTCCCGTCCCGTTGTCTACCCCTACTTTCAGTGTGATTTTACAATATGTATGTGATTTTATTTTCTGGTTCTTTCTTGTGCATCCAGATGTATATATATATATATATATATGCATCAGAAGGATAAACATGAAATGCATCACAAACTCACAACCCGAGCAGTAATTTTAAGTCAAATTTAAATTACAGAGTCCACATACATACTTGGATGTCGATTGTGGAGTGTCAATTTGACGGAAAGTCTAAAACCTTTTTCTTTTTGTAAATAAAAAGGAAACCATAAATCACGGATTATCGAGTTATTTACTCCCTTTAATATAAAAACAGAAACTTTGGCGTTGCTGTGAAGGGAAAGCGCGCCTACCTTCCTTAACCTTAGAGGGCAATGATGACGCCATGAGGTTTTAACTCCGAATTCTGCGTAATTCTTTTTGGTATATTTTTCATATGATCGTTTGCTGTCTCATTTGGCAGTTCTCTGTCAGCAGTGCTACTTGTGATTTCCGGGACCCACAGCTCCGTGTTCTTATGAAGTCTCGAGACTTTGTCTTTGAGCGAGAGGAAGAGAATTTTCCCCTTTGCAGAGAGGAAGACAATAGAGAAAAGGTTGAAGGAGAATTTTAGCCTTATATTTGAACGTTATTCGAAACTTCTCTGCTGTGGCATTTTCCCATTTTCCACTACTGGTGGTGCAGGACGAACGCATGCAAGTACAAGGTAAGACAGTCTACCGAGATCTTTTTGGCATTTGGGTTTTCTTTCTGAACCGCTTCTGTGATATGGGTTTTGCTCCATTTTGGCGCTAGGATATTCGTTCAGAAGAGCAGCGAAGATTGAGTTGTGTGGGCTCGTCTGGTATCGAATCGGTTTTTTGATCGGTTTGCTGATTTTCTTGCTGGGTAGTATTGTAGTGGTTTTGATATTGCTTTTACTAGGTAGCTTAGTTGGGTATGACTTTGGCCTCCGCAAGTAACCGAGTATTTTTGGTAAAATAAGGTTTTCCGTGTTCTGGTGGTAGCAATTGGTGATCGGAAGCTTGCTTGGCTGATCTGGGTTATAGCTAAAAATCCTGAATTTTGCCTCAAGATTGCTAATTTTTTAGACTCTGCTGAGCTGTGATTCCTGTGTTTATATTTTACAGCAAACATCTATACAGTTCTGGGTTTGAGCTTCAGTGTAGATGATGATCTGTGTAGTTAGGCGCTTTCGTTTTCGCTTTCTACATTGCTAGATATAAATCTGGGTAGAAGATGAACTGAACCAGCTTCCAATTTTGGCATTTGAATTAGGTGATTTGAGAGAAAACCGTGGGTTGAATTGATTTGGTTATATAAGAGTGATGGCAACAGTAGCTCCAGCCCCGAATCCTCCGAGTCCTGCTGCTCCTACACCTTCAGGAACTGCAGGATCACCCCCACCATTCATCTCATCACCACCACCACAATCATCCTCTCCGCCACCTACTCAAATGACATCTCCACCTCCACAAGATGATCCTACTCCGCCACCACCATCATCACAACCTCCACCACCAGCAACACCATTGACTCCACCACCATCTGATTCACCTCCGCCTAGTTCTCCACCACCATTACAACCTTCTAATCCACCACCTACATTGCCTCCTCCAGCACCAGCATCTGAACCACCCACAAGTGCTTCTCCACCTTCGCCATCACCACCGCAGCCACCACCAAATTCGCGTCCTCCACCACCACCATCCACACCTGCCCCTGATATCCAACCTCCACCATCATCTAGTCCACCTGAAAGTTCACCGCCACCACCACCACCAGAAACCTCATCACGACCACCTACCAGTTCACCCTTACCACCTAGGAGTTCACCTCCTCCACCACCAACTTCAATTCCACCAAGAAGTTCACCTCCACCTCCAAGTAATGCTTCATTGCCTCCTACTACCCCTACCCGACAATCACCACCTTCTGGACCAAATTCTACTCAATCTACTCCACCACCAGTAATCAGACTGTCTCCGCCTCCTCCGTCACGGAATTCTCCATCATCCACTTCTCCCCCATCATCTGTGAACAATGATACTATTCCGAATGCACCTTCTGATCAAAACGGTGGAAACAGTGGTATTGGTACTGGTGCTATTGTGGGTATTGGAGCAACTGCAGGAATCTTAATGCTCAGCCTTATTTTGGTGATTGCTTGGTGCTTAAAGAAACGCAGGAGATCTGTCTCCAGAGTCAATGGCGATTATGTGATGCCTTCACCTTTTGCATCCTCCCCGGTATCAGGTGAACAAGTATCTCATTATTAATATTGCTACTGGTTGTTGGGATGTTGGAATGCTACCATAATTGGGAAGTGTACGTTACTCTTCAAAATATTATGATCTCATATTTTGCAAAAAGCTTTAGTCAATCCATGACTATTCTTGAAGACATTCTTCGATTCTGTGCTGTTGTGAACCCTGCAGTCCACCTGAATTTACCAGGTATGACAATTATAAGGATTTGCATGAATACATTTAACAAATGGTTTTGTTTCAGTACTGATATAAGTGTAGCAATAGATATAAACCTAAGTCATCATGGTGGTTGAAAATTATCTAATCTGTACAACTAAAATAGGTTAACTTTTCCCTTTCTTTTAATAAAGCTAAGAGGATGTTCTTCTGAAAGGTTTTAACTGCTTTTCCAGATTCCAGTAACACAAAGGTCCACTCTACTACAGCTCCCCTGATGGGCAGTGGTTCTAGCAGTGACTTCATTTCTTCGCCAGCAGAGCCTGGTGGACTGGGGCACTCAAGGTCTTTGTTTACATATGAAGAAATGGTCACAGCAACCAATGGCTTTTCGACCCAGAATCTTTTGGGTGAAGGTGGATTTGGATGCGTGTACAAAGGTTGCCTACCAGATAGGAGAGAGGTTGCAGTAAAGCAACTCAACATACGTGGAAGCCAGGGTGAAAGAGAATTTAAAGCTGAAGTTGATATCATAAGTCGAGTACACCATCGTCATTTGGTTTCACTTGTTGGTTATTGCATCTCGGACAGCCAAAGATTGCTTGTCTATGAATATGTCCCTAACAATACCCTTGATTTCCATCTCCATGGTAAAAAATACAGGTTCAGTTTTGTACTTAACAATTCTCAATATTATTACTGTTTGCTTGAAATTTATTCATGTTGGTTCGTATACTTTTGTAGAAGAAGGTATACCTGTTTTGGACTGGTCACATCGTATCAAAATAGCTGCGGGTGCAGCTCGTGGATTAGCTTATCTGCACCAAGACTGTAAGTACTTTTTATCTCTTCTTTTTGGTGTCAGTATTATCCAGTCATCAATTCCTTACTCTATTGTTTGTGCATCTTAACAAACCAGCTCACATAATCTCAGTATTCAGGCTATGAAATCCAAGTACCTTGTAGTAGGCTGTATTGGAGATTGAGATTTTCATTTTGGGTTTTGTTATTTTATATGTAGGCCATCCTCGGATTATTCATAGGGATATCAAGTCATCAAACATTCTTTTGGATAACAACTTTGAAGCCAGGGTATGCATAATTTGTAATATAGAGTTGCTGATGTGTTATTAAGTATGCAGAATACAATTTTAAACATTTGGACTTGATTGAGCTACAGGTTTCAGATTTTGGTCTTGCCAAGTTAAACCCAGATGCGAATACACATTTGACAACACGTGTTATGGGAACTTATGGGTAAGGTGGCTTTTTCATCTTCGTTTTAGATTCCTCAAAACCTTCATGGGGTGAGGTAGCTTCTTTCAGTATTTTGACCCGAATTAACTGAACCTATATGTTTGATTTTCTTATTCCAGATATGTCGCCCCAGAGTATGCAACAAGTGGCAAGTTAACTGAGAAGTCTGATGTATACTCATTTGGAGTTGTGCTCTTGGAGTTAATCACTGGGCAGAAGCCACTGGATCCTTCCCAGTCCCCAGGAAAAGAGAGTCTAGTTGAACGGGTAATTGGTTCTGTCAAGTTACTTTTCTCCAGCTTTTGCAAATCCAAAGTTCCATGCCTACTATACTGTTGGGATCATGTTCTTAGGAGATGAATCGTTCATGGGAGCATTCAACTATGGAAATGGAAGAAACCTAACTGTCTTAACTTATGTCTGACTAGTCTTAACCTGAACTACTGTCATAGTATAAAGTGTTGTCGTATTTATCCAAGAATTCATCTATAGTCTAAGATCATATGTAGGCAAAGGCCAAATCCCATCAATAGCGTTATGCGTATTTAATGAAGTAAAAAATTAGAATAAACACGCGACTTACAGGTTTTGAAGGCTTTAAACCTCAACAGGATTTGGTGCTCAGATATCTGAACTTTACCTTTCCAGGCACGACCTTTCATGAGCCATGCACTAGTAAGCGGCGAACTAGGAGGTCTAATCGACCCAAGGCTTGACAAGAACTATGTTGAAGAAGAGATGTTCAGGATGATTGAGGCTGCTGCAGCCTGTGTTCGCCATTCTGCTTCCAAGAGGCCTCGCATGGAACAAGTATGGATAATCTAATAAATCAACTTGTGGCTGATATCCAGGCTGGCTGCATCTTTCTTAATACTATGCTCCCTTTATTGTTATGTTTCGCAGATTGTCAGAGCTCTTGGCGATATAGCTGCAGGAGATTTAACCAACGGAATGAAAATTGGAGAGAGTGAGGTAATCAGAACACCAGAAGAGTCGGAGCAGTTTAGACTCATGCAAAGGATGGCATTTGGCAGTCAAGATTTTAGTTCAGGTTTTTTTAGCCATAGTAGTATGAACAGCCGAAATGACAGTCTAGTCTAGTATGAAAGTAATTTTGGTAGGGGTGAAAATTTAGCTGTGAATTACTCTGAAGAGTTCAGAGGCTGAATGACAGCTTCAGAGTGAGCTTCAGAATGGCATTTTAGCTGTCAGCCTCTGGAGTGAAGGCCAAAATTAGGTTTAGGAAAATGGCTCATTCCTCAGCGTTTCCAGTAACTGGGCTAAGGGTTAGCTCTTCCACTATATCCTTTTAGCTTTTCCACTATACCCTTCTAGGGTTTTAATTACTGTAAATAGCCCCACCCGAAATACTTGTAAAGGCTCAATTTTGCAATCGATACGGATCATAATTTTTCATTCTGGGTTTCTGTCAGTTGTTTAAGTTAATTCTTACAGAATGGATATCGATGTCATTGAGATCGCATGATGACTTACCTAGAAAGCATGGATATATGTCTCTGCAACAGAAAGCCGCCAGAAAAAGAACTTAATCATCTTCTGCAGTTCCGCCTGACAGCCATTTAAGAGTGATTTTGAAGGACTGCAGAGCCACAAAGTTTCCACAAATGGCTGTGTTGACACCAGAAAAAGGGTCACTCAACTAAGGAGGGAGAATTGATTCTCAGAATTGTCAGGTGAAAATGAAACAACTTGATGGAAAAACAATCCAAAGATCCATCTGGGCAACTAGGAAAACAAGGAGAGCATATGGTGGCCGAGGAAGGGAAAACTGCCCTAATCAACTGTTACGGGACAAAAGAACAGCAACGGAAGGCAAGGAAATAAAAGTCTGCAAAGCACTCCAAGACAAGACGAGGAATGAAGTCACCCAAGCAAGCAACCCTCCAAAATTCCCTTCTCAAACCCCCTGGAAAGCAATTGAAAAAAGAGTAAATCACAAGATTCCAATACTGAAATCCAATCCCACACATCTTCCAAACCTTTCCCAATCATCAATTCTCGAAAAACATGTGAACCCTTTTGCTGATCATCATCATCATCAAACCATCTTCAAACATCTCCCTGCTAGCTTTGCCGCCCATGGCAGCTACGGAGGACTGCAACCAAATGGCTGCAGACTGTGTGGTGGTATCCTGCTGCTGCCAATGCTTGTTCCTGCAATTCCTCATCTACGTGTTCCTCAAGCTTCCAAGGAGGCTGCTCGAGCGAGCAAGGGACTACGCGAGAAAGAAGCTGATGAAGATGAGGAGCAGGAAGAAGATAGAGACAGAGCTAGTGGGGAGAAGAACTGCCAAGTTCGGAGAAATCTCTGCTGATGTATACAACACCGAAGAATCCATGTGCATTGACATAGGCCTGTTAGAGGAGTTCAAGAAGTCCAATGCCGATAATAAGAACATCATTGAACATGTGCAGATGGGTGAAGATCGTCATCAATGCATTGAGGAAATAGAGAGGGTGTTGGATGAATACCACGCTAGAGGTGAGTTTGGGTTTGGGAGCTTTTGGAGGAAGGAAGTGTGCAAAATGGGCTCACCATCTTCCTCGTCGTCATCATTCTCATCATCGTCGCCAATCTCTTGGGGGAGATCAACAATGGCTACTCCACGTCCATCACATAATTCGACTCCATCATCGACGGGAAGGAGTAGTGGTGGAGGTAAAAAGCAGAAGAAGAGGAAGGAGTCGGGGGGTTTGAGAGTTGTGCAGTTTGAATTGATTGAAATTGTTCATTCTTTATCACGTTCATCATATGGGTCGTTTCAGAAGATTGAAAAGTTGCTAGACTACGAGAAATCGCCTTCAGGGATTTGGAGAAACACCAATACATCATGAGCTTAACTTGCTTGTGAGCTTGTTTCATTATTTAGATTTGGTATATTATTTTCTCTGCAATTAGATTTAGGGCAATGGGTCAAACCAAAATCTGGTAACGATGATGGGACTATCTTGATTGCAATTCATATTGGTTGTCCCTGAATTCCTGATATTAGTTGGGAATTGGCTACACAAGTATATAAATAATTTGTTAAGCTTTAATCGAACTCTATTGTGTAAAGCACCACATTTAGGTCTCCGACTAATCGTATGGCGTGTGATGCAAGGAAATGAAACCAACGAGTTTATTGGAGAAGTTGAGTGACTTCCTCCTTTAAGCTCTTACCACAGAAGATATCAAGACGACGACCAATGGCTGAGCTAAGTTCATCTTCTCCATTAGCTAGAGGAATTTGACCGACGACCAGCATAATCACTTGTGTTCTTGGTAATATGGCGGGAGAACAATAGTAATCTCATGATGGTTAGAGATTTAAAATCCCAGAAAAACTCATTGTTCCTCTTCTTGCCAATGAATGATGAAGCAAAAAAAGCAACGAGAGACACTATTATCGACCTCGAAGTCGACGATAATCACGATATTCAACGATTCACTTGATGGTGAGAATAAAAGGGTCCTAAGATAAATTATATGTTTAAAGTTATAAATACTAAAAATATAAAAAAATCAAAGCAATTAAATAAACAATAAACTTTTTCAAATCCATAATGCAATAAATTCAGAATAAATCCAGTGAATTTTTAAACCCAAATTTGAATCAAAATCCGCATTTTGAAATCCGATAAACAAACGACCCTTAGTAAACCATACAGCATAAACTTGCATAACTTGGGAAGTTCCCAACCACTTAACAACAATATTGTTCAAAGCAAAACCAAAACAAGTATCAAAGTGCTATGAATGGTTACTTGTTCAAGCAAAGAAAAAAAATATAAAACAGGAAACTAAGCAAGTAGCATCATCGCTCTTGAAATCTCAAACTTTAGTTCTTCACGATCTCCACTTCCACAAGCCACATCTCTGTTTCTCAAGCACTTCAGACTTCAATTCACCAACTAATGAATCAATACCTGCTGTTGTTCCAGTTGGAAGCTCAATTTGAACCCCCAACTACAACCGGCATGTATGCAGGTTGTAGCACCAAAGCAACACTACTAATTCATGATTCAACATATATCGCTTAAATTCTTACCACAATGTTAGTGGTTAATGTAGTTTTGGTTAGCATATTTAGAGATTCGTGATTGTGATTAACCGTAAAATATAGAATAAGTAACCATAACCCACAAAATAATTAAACAAAGCAACCTGTTGGGGGTGTTACTAAGATACTCCACGCACAGACTAAGTAGTAGGGCGCACAATCTGCGATGCCCAACGCTCAATACCCGCTACAGGTATATAAGGGCTTGAAGCCCTCCAAAGGGGGGGACCGGCTCCTCTCTCCTCACTTTCTACTTTCCACTATCTCTCTACATCTTATCTTTCTACCTTATTCTCTCAACTCTCTCCGGAAACTTAAACTAACTTGATTGTCGGAGCTTAATCCGGGGGCATCCCCGACTTTCCACAGGTTCTCTCCCTCCCGACGAGATCAGACGAACGGATGACGAGTCGACCCACACAACAATCATTATTGTTCATACCCCGAGCGAGAAGGTACAAACACAACCCAATAAAGTACTTATACTTTTTAGTGTTAGGTGTTAGCACCCACTAAGGGTATTATAGTAACTATCGTTTTTAAACTATAACAGCTCAGTCCCCCCTTCGTCCCATAGATTTGGATTTTATATGTAAATTACAGTTTGGTACCTATATTTAATAGATTTAAAGAATGTTTAAAATTAATTTTGTTCATACATTTCGTACCTACAAATTTTAAATTTTACCTTTTAATAGGCTAAATATTTTTAAAATTTACAGATATGTCTAATTTTATGAGGTTTCTGATCTACTTTAAGAAACTTGTGGTCTATTTTATTATGTTTATGGTTTTCTTCATGGAACTTGTGGTCCGCTAGATGAGGTTTCAGTGTGCTTCAAGAAACTTGTAGTATGCTTTATGAGATTTCTGATATGCTTCAAGGAACTTCTGATCTGCTTTATGAGGTTTATGGTTTGGTGTAAGAAACTTGTGGTAAACTTTATGAGGTTTTTGGTCTAGTTCATGGAACTTGTGGTCTGCTTTTATGAGGTTTCGGTGTGCTCCGCGAAACTTGTGGTTTCCTTTATGAGATTTATGGTTTGCTTTAACAAATTTGTGGTCTGCTTTAAGAACGTGTGGTCTGCTTTGAGTTCTCTAGTATGCTTTATAAACTTTCTGGTATTTGTGGGGTGGTTTTTTGTGTTTCTCATATGTGTAATGTGGTCTGCTTTATTATACTATTGGTGATGCGCGGAATGCGGAATTAATGACCAGTCCCCCTTAATTTTTAATAATGACAAGCGTGTCCCTCCTTTTACAAATATTCATTAATTGTGCTCAACCCCTGGAATAAAATAATCATAAAAAATATTCCTACTGACTGGAGTTGGTATTAGCACCATGCTAATAATTGAGTGCCGATCGACACCGCGGGTTAGCACCACATGATACAGTTAGAGCACATGCGCGGAATATATGGGTCAGCTCGACACAAGTACAAATTATTTATGGGCCGTGTCAAGATAAACTTAATGGGCTCGAGCATGAGCACTACAAAGTCTAAATGTAGGTCATGCCAGACCTAATATTTTTCACACCCTATTGAATATAAGCACGACATGACACAAAAAAGAAACTTCTTTTTATAAAAAACAAATAAAGAGAATTATAAGTTCAAATATTACAAACTACAACAATAGGTATTTATTGTTGTTACAGAAATAAAAGGGGAAAAAAGATATTATATGTATTCAAGGGGAAAAAAGATATTATATGTTATTATTAACATAAATAAAAGGGTTAATACCTTATTTTGGTCTGAACTATCACCATATAATCAACTTTGGTCCGTGGTTTCAGAAATTAATATCCTGGCCTCAACTATGCAGCATATAGACTCAATTGGCCCGACACATAGTTTGACTGTCATTGACCGTTAGTCAACATGCCATGTCATTGCCTGGTTAGCCTAAAAATCATTAAAAAAATTTAAATTCAAATGATTTTCCTAATTTCTATTATTTATCATTTTCCAATTAACCAAAAAATAAAAATATAAAAATATAAAATATTTTTTTTGTGATATTTAAAAATGATAAATCTTATAAATTAACCAAAAATTATCAAATTAAATTTTATAAATTTAAAAATTATGATATAAATTATATTTATGTGGGAAGTTTTAAAAATATAAAATAATTTGATATTTTTTGGTTAATTTATAAAATTTATCATTTTTCAAATTATCCAAAAAATAAAAAATCAGATTTATTTATGTTTTTTATAATTTATTTTTGGTTAATTTGATAATAAATAAGAAAAATTAGAAAAATATTTTGAAATTTGCATTTTTTAAATGATTTTTAGGCTAACTAGGCAATGACATGGTGTGTTGACTAACGGTCAACGGAGTTGATCGTCCAAATTGACGGTCAAACTATGTGTCGGGCCAATTGAGTCTATATGCTGCATAGTTGAGGCCAGGATGTTAATTTCTGAAACCACGGGCCAAAGTTGATTATATGATCATAGTTCGGGCCAAAATAAGGTATTAACCCTAAATAAAAATCATTGAATGATTAAAATTACATGGGAGGTCATATCACACATATGCTATACTCCAATTTTCTTTTTCCTCTATTTTTATACTTTTTCAAACATTCTGAATTAATAATTTCATTCTCTGTCCAATTTTCTCTTTATTTTTTATTTTTCTATTATTTTTTTGTTTTCCATTTAACACAATATGAGCATAACATAAGTACGAATAGGCACGACATGATTCAAACAATGCTCAAACTCGAGACTGACCAAATAAATTTATAAAATAAGCAGGACAAAAAATAAATGATCTCAAGCATTTGAGTATCTTGCCAATAGGGATGGCAATCAGCCCGCGGGCCTTGGACATCCGTTCGGGCCCGACCGATAGAGAAGGCCCAAAACCCGCGAGGCCGGGTAAGTTCGCGGTTACGGGCAGGCCCGAGACCCGCAGGTGACGGTGACGGGCTGGGGACGGATATTGTGATCCCCGCACCGTACCCGGCCCGATAGCAATACGACGCCGTAATAGACTCCATATATAAACTTGGATTTTAGGGTTAGGGACTTCAGTCTTCATTTTCACCAACGCAGCCGCCTCTTCGTCCCCGATTTCCTCTCAACCTAAACCCTAGAATCGAAAAATTCTGGCCAAATCCCTACGATTCCGACGAATTCTCCTCCTTTCTCTACTAATTTCCCACCAAAATCTACGATCTAATCACCAATAATCCTTCATCTTACCCTTAATCCAGCCCCCAGCCATCGAAAATGTCTCAATCGAAGGAACAAAAAACTCGAATCGTGCATGCAGACGATATCTTTCCTAGATCGAGAATTCGAGATAAGTATTGAGTATTCGATTCATTCTTTCTTTCCTTAATCGATTAAGGGTATAAATATGAGGCTTACTTGTTTGTTTTGTTCATCTGCAGTTCTTCGAACCCTAAACCCAGAAACCCTAGCCTTCCAGAATTCCGATTCCCAGTACCTTTTTGTCATTCTCGGTAAGTTTAGTTTACACTTTACAGTAGTTTGTTTGATTAATGCTTATAAGGGTATAAATGTGAGGTTGACTTGTTCATTTTGTTCATCTGCAGTAAGAACCCTAAACCCAGAAACCCTAGCCTTCCAGAATTCGGAATCCCACTACCTGTTTGTCATTCTCGGTAAGCTTAGTTAAAGTAGTTTGTTCGATTAGTTTTCCAAATACCATAGCTTTCCAGATTATTTGAGTTTGATACTTATTTCCTGCTCTTTTGTTTTTGCAGCTTGCTGTTCAGGAGTCCCATCAAGCAGGTGGCGCTTAAAATACAGTCTGCTGAAGTAAGTCGTCGCCCTTGATTGTTGTTGGTAGTGAATGATTTGGTTTAATGCTATTGTTAAGTA